TAAGAGTTTATTGAAGCTCTCTATCTCTACATGGAAGTTTTTAAAGGAAATAGCAAAGTTCCTGTTTCGCAAAACATGTTGTTTTCTAAGATAAAGTGAACAAAATATGGTTTTTTTATCCCCGTTAATCTGCCATAGACGTTGGATAAGTCTAAACATGTTCTTTTCTAAGATATAGTAAACAAAACTATCGTTTTATCTCTTATTATATAAACATTGGGCATTTAAGTGAAAACAGAAAGGGAATTTTATCATTCTGATTTTTTGGAAAATTTTAGTACTATTGTTCCTCTCAACGTACTCTGATCTTCAAAGAAATTGCCGTTTTATTCATCGTGAAAAGTTACCACTGACATGTGTACATGTACTGTCGCAGTTTGTAATAATCATCGCACTTTGTAATACCTGTCGCAATTTTTAATAAACCGTAAGTCAGATAACTTATCAACATTAAAATCTAAAAAAAATGTTTAGGACTGTGAATAAACTTAAATGTTTGAATGAGGGGAGATGTTACGTGCAAGCAGATGTTATCATCTCTGTTTATGAAGTACCATGCATATTTTGGCATTATATTAATGTTGACGAAGTAAGTTGAATCACTCTCGAAAAATTATTACAAAGTGCGATGGAATTATTACAAATTGCGACAGCTTAGTTTATTACAAAGTGCGATGGACTGTTATTACAAATTGCGACACCTTTTTTATTACAAAGTACGACACGGTTTATTACAAATTGCGACAGGTATTACAAAGTGCGATGGATTTATTACAAATTGCGACAGGTATTACAAAGTGCGATGATTATTACAAATTGCGACAGAACAACATGCAGTTAAATAATTTTTTTTAATAGAAATTGAGTGTCAGTTAAGTAGTTTTGAGTTATAAGCCGGGTTAACTGCTTAAATTAATAATCTGAACAAATATTATTTAGCGGGTTCTCCAGCTGCTCTGATATTATTTTGCAACATCAAATAATGACTGCAAATTGGTCGCTTAAAAATCGTTTCTTTCGCCTGTGGCAACTAAAAAGTTTTTGCAGTGGTGATTCAAAATGAGTATCCAGTGTCGGGTAGTAATATCGGAGCCTCCGCGAGCGCGAAGCGCACGCGGCGAAGCCTCCATTGCTTTACAAAATGGAAACCTATCAATGCAAGAAATTTCGTTATAATGTCAGCGTACTCACTCACGCCCGTCCGCCGGTACGATTTGGCAGGAAGGTACTAGGTAGTCTCTGCAGGGGTGGGGACGGGGAATCATGCAGTTTGCGTTTGTCTTGGCGAAACGTTAACCAGTTCACCGAGAGGCAGCCAATGGAGTTTTTCCAGTAAAGATATTGAATTTCCCGAGTTTTTGAATTGCGACAAAAAAAAATTTGAAAAGTTCAGTTCTAAGTATGTGCTTTTACCGGGTGGTCACGGTTTTAGTCATGTTGTAGCTTGTTCCAGGCTCTCGGATACTAGGGATGACGCATAAGTAAAAGGCGTGCGAAAAAATGAGCGCGTGGGCGGTGTTCGTGCTCGTGTGTGGTAATCAGTTTGAAATAAAAGAAAATAACATTTAAGACAAGGATGAAATTGAAACCTTACTGCCGAAATAGACCTCTTCCCTCAACCGGTTTCTTTTGTCGTTCAGGACATAGACTACTCAAGGCGAGAGTAGCCAATTTATTATAATTTTTTTCTCCTGTTTTTCTCTTTTTCTTTTCTTTTGCTGGTGTGATTTTCGGTCTTACCCGACGCGAGAAACTTGCATTCAATTGGTTTTTGTTCAGTACGAATGAAATCTCATGACGCCATTGGAAATATGAAAAAAGTTGCATGTTTTCTAAAAGCGTTCATGCCTAAGATTCATGCTAAAAGTGGGAAGAGGCCACTTTTCGGATGTTGGATGTCATATGGCACAGACAAACACATAAACACTTGGAAGTTTAAAATTATTTTGTCATCACGTAAGTTAAAACTGGACCTGCGGGTATTTTATCGTGCTTGAGATAAATAGCTTTAGATAGCTATGGCTTTGCTTTATATAAATTTCGAAAGATATCCCTTGCGTTCATATAATTATTGAATAAAATTATAACGGACCAAATCTGAATATATTTTCCACTATATATATGGTCAATAACTTTCCCATAGCTGTTGAAGAATAAACCGGGAACGAGGCTACTTTATTCCCCCAGAAAAATCAGTTTAATTTTTTAGTTGGCTAAATTAAAAGGAAGGCCATGATCGCCGTCACAACTGATCACAAGTCGCTTAGGTAATAACAGCACCAAATTGCTGTAAAATCACTGAGACACCAAATAAGATGTGTCTCCAAGCCACGTAAAGTTGGTTTCTAAATACAACAATAACAAGTTCTAATAATTAAGGATTAAGAAAAATAATAAAATTATCGAAGAGATGTTTCGAAGTCATCCTGGCTTCAAAAAGTGCTGTTCAAGTGGATGCTTTGAATAGCAAAAACAACTCCACTCGAGCAGTCCTTTTTGACTTAAAAATGAAGCGAGGATGGGTTCAAAACGTCTTTTTGCTAATTTTCATTCCGATTTATTATAAAATGGCAATAACAACCGTGAGTGAAAGTGCTTTTAAAAACATTATAAATTTCCTTGCAATTTCAGACTTTCTTGACTTTTTCTCCAAATAACCCTAGTATAAGGCTCACACGAGAATGTGCGGGATAAGCAAATTAAATATAACTTTTATAACAATTTGACGATGTTTAGCTAACGTTTACGGTTGCTGGTTATTCGGCCTCCACACTTTGTTTGCCCGAATCCTTTCTTATTCTTCCTCATCCTAACTTATTCATTTGCATTATTTTACAACGAATATAAATCCTCTTGAAAATTGCTTTGTTTCAATAATAGCATATAAAACAAACTATTGATTTAACAAACCAAATTCCTACCAGACGTCAGAAAAGAAAGTTCCGGATCCAGCCCATGTTGAGGTAATCCAGATTCGGAAAACCTGCCTGTGGAATCAGGATCCGGCATATTTTTGCTTGTGGAATCCGCAATCCCAAGAATTCCGCTCAAGGATTCGGGAATCCAAGCTCCACTTGCCGGCAGGAATATCCGGAATCCAATGCCTGGAACCCTGAATCCCCAACGTAGAATTCAGAATCCAAGACTGTCTTGGATTACCTTCAATGGGGCGATCGGGACTTACAGTGGACTTAAAGCTATTCACTGTCGAGTCAGCGTACTTTCTTAAAGTTTCAGTTTGTTGAGAGGATAAAATAGTCAAGATCGCTATATTATATCAATATATTATATATTTTTTTCGCCGTATTTCTTTTCAGTTGACTTCTCGTAAATGATCGTGAGCGGCCGATTGGCTAACAACAAAGAATGACTGCCTCTTTGGACGAATACCCACAGTTGGTCGTGGAACTGGCTCGCCGCAGTACTCCAGTAAAGATAACAGAGGCAGCGATCCTTGTTTGTCTCATTATTTTAGCCTTTGTAGGCAATGTTTTGGTCTGTGTCACTGTCTTCAAAAGCGCTCGTCTCCGCACGATTCCATACATGTTAATCACAAATTTAGCAGTGAGTGATATTCTGATGGCCATCGTTTGCATGCCTATTTCTTTACATGTACTTATTTCTGGCAAATGGCCTTTTAGCTCGTCAGTGTGCGATATGCATGGCTTCTTTATTTTTACTTTTGGCATTGTCTCGCAAGTCAATATGTCAGTCATTGCAGTAAACCGTTACTTCGCAGTTTGCCGTCCATTCGATTGTAAGGTCGTTTTTACCAAGAGAAATTCCCTGATCATAATCGCGATTCTTTGGATCTTACCAAGCATTGCCAGCGTCCCACCCCTGGTTGGCTGGGGATATTACGCCTTTAACCCGGGCAAAGCATTCTGTATCTACCCATTCAACGTCAACATAATTTACACGATGATCATCCAACTTCTCTTTATCGCATTTCCAATAAAACTCATTGTGTTCAGCTACGCGAAGTGCATTCTTGCCATCAGATCCAGCAATCGACAAATCGAGGGAATGGTCGCTGACCCAAATTCGGTTGGTCAAGAGTCCAGAAAAGCGCGCGAAGTTCGCGCCACCTGGACAATGCTGTTTTCCACTCTGGGTTTCAGTATGTGTTGGTTACCAGTATCCGTCATTGATTTCATAGAAACGTCCAAAGGAGGCGGAAATTTACCACGCCAAGTGTTCATGCTGAATGGCTTCCTCATTTTCTTATCAAGCACGATCAATCCTTTCATCTATTGGCTGTCTAACCGTGATTTCCGCAAAGCATTCCGCCAAGTGATTCTTTGCGGAGCCAGAGGCAATGAAATATTGCCCGTGCGAGAGATGCCACAAAGCACTTTACAAAGCTCTACTGTTCAGTCACAGAGCTAAATACACGTAAACAACCGCGCATAAACGGCACTTGAGTACTGTGTACATAGTAATTCACTAATAACTGAACTTGCTTGAGACAGTGCTTGAGATGTAGACACAATTTAAAATTGAGATTATAGTAGAAAACAATTTCAACCACTAGCTACCACTCAAGATTACTACCACTTCTGCATTGCTTTCTCTAGTTTTATTTATTTAATTTATTGTACTTCGTAGGAGATTTTTGCCTAGTTCCTTGGCTACACTACTCCGAGTTGCTTATGGATTTCGGGTAACGTGATCTGAGTGAGTTTTTCTCGGAAATATCAACGAAATGCATTGACCGAGAAGACCTGGGCAGACGCCGTAAAGAGACCAGGCAAAGATAAACATTCATTGTGCAGATATTTGTAAATAGAAAAGCAAGCAAATTGCATTACTCTGTAAGTGTAAATACTATATAGATTAATATAAATGGGATGGTAGCTTTGACGTTTGACGGTAAAATTTTAGAGCTGCGCTTTTGACGGTTGACGGTTATTAAGCAGAAATTTAGTCCGATAGTTTAAGGCCCTGTCCACACGTATCCGGATATTTTTGAATCCGCTCCACAGAGTGGACATTTTTTAATACGCTATGAATCCGGAGTCGCGTGGACGCTAAATCCGGATATCATACGCGAAAAGATCGAGCCCAGTTCTTTACCGTGAATGCTGCATTCAGATGGCAACTTCGTCCCAGGTTCTCTCTCTTACCCGTCATGGAGTCAACCGTGCTCTTTGCATTTTTCTTTGATTTCTAGGCTGATTCTGCCATAATTCTAGATGAAAATTTCGCACGCTTTACGACGGTTGCTCAGTAGGGTCTGTTGGATTATGCTTGTATAATTATATAGAGTATTATGCTTTAGGGCGTCACCGGTCATACCAAAAGAAAGCACAAGGACCTTTGTAAATATACAACTGCTATAATAAATAAGAATTATGGATAAAACCTCAATGGTCTTCATGTTGTTACTGACTTCGTCAATGCCGTAATTCTGACCCAAAACTTCGTGCAATCCCGTAATCCCCAGAATTATTTTTGGCATCCCACCTCTCGCGCATACTTTCACTGACTGATTGAATCCCGAATCTCGCCCCGATTTTTCTTTAAAATCTCGAATCCTGAGCTTCCCGCGGGAAACCCCGAATCCCAAAAAGACTTACAGGGACCCTCTGCTACTGCAGCGGAGAAACTGACAATCGTAGCAAAAGCATTTAAGGGGTGAAAAATTTAATAAGCACCGTGGGGCTTATTCGAGTAAATACGTTGAGCTACTACCTGTTGCAGGAGGCAGGGAGGCACCAAAAACAAAATACAACACCGCAGATGTTGACTATAACTAGAACGGTGAGGAAATGTTTGAACTGGGGAATTGAGGTTGTTACCAAAAAAAAAAAAAGGATATGAGGGTACATTGTATTTCTCGCTTTTTAGTTTAAGAAAACACACAAACTTTAGCAAATTAAAACCTTCTCTTGCTTGCAAAATATTTGAAACTATGATTTCCCCAATATTATCATATAATAGCGAAATTTGGGGTGTATATGTAAAACATGATTTTAAAGCTTGGGACAATACCCCAAGTGAAAAAACCCACTTGAAATTTTGCAAGCGTTACCTAGAAATAAGCAATAAAGCTTCAAATGTTGCAAGTAGAAGTGAATTAGGACGGTTGCCATTAATTATTAATATTTATAAAAACATCCTTTATTACATATTGTATCTTCTGCGTAAAAAC